GATGGCGGAGACTGACTGCTGTGAGGAGGCAGACCCGGCAGCATGGAAATCCGCAGAGGGAGGAAGCAAGGCCCCTCACCCATGAGGCAGGTTAGTGGCATCTATAGGCCAGGGCAGGCCCCCAGGGTCCCAGGCCACAATCTGTGGGGCAGCCCTCTCCGCTGGGGCGCACCCTGGCACAGGGTCTGAGGACTCCCTGGGATGTGCTCTCACAGACACACTGCCCTCCCCGCCAGCTCCCTGCAAGGAGGGGTGAGTGGTAGCTCCCTGCCAGGTGTGGGATGGGAGCCACGTGGACTTGGGACTCTGGACACCTTTTGTGGTATCTGTAGTTGCTTGTTTATTTCTCGATATCAGCACAAGGCTCAAAGATTACAGGGCTGGGGAGGGGGCTCCTGGACATGACCTCGTCTGACCTTCTTATTCTACAGGCCCAAATGCCAAGGCCCAGCACAGGACCTTGGAGGTGGCAGCAACCCCAGATTGCACAGACTCCACCCTGGGAGGGCAGCAGACCAGGTGACCTGGGGCCCGTGTCCATTGTGAGGGGAGGAGGGAGGGAAGAGGGTTCTGGGTCCCCAGGTGGATAGGGCTGCTTCCTGTCCTGTGGGGGAGTTAGTCCCTCTCTGGTGAGGGTGGCCGTTGAGGAAGCTGACCTGCTCCATAACCAGCCTGCCCCCAAGGAATCTCCACCACCCTCCTGTCCCATTGCCTGGAGGAGGAGAGGGCACCAGGTGCTTTGTATCCCTTCCTTTCTTGGGAAGTGTTGGCACAGGGACACACACACATCCCGCTGTCCCCAGCACTAACTGCAGGGGTAAGGAGCTGTGCTGTGGAGATGGGTGGCAGAAGCTGGTGTCCCCTTCCAGCTCCTTTTGCAGTGGGCCTGTCCTCTCTCAGCGCAGGCTCCGACGGTCGCAACCAAGCCCAGGCGCGGTCCCCTCGCCTTCAGCAGCTCGCCTTGGGGGGCTTCTTGGCTCCAGGCAGGAGCCTGGCAGACGCGGACGCGCGCTTCTGGTGCCGCCACTTGGCCCGGCGGTTCTTGAACCAGACCTGAGCGGGGAGGGACTGCTCAGACCCAGCCCCGGACCCGCGCCCTACCAGAGTCCCCGGGAGCCCACAGTGGACCCGGGGGGATTTTACGAGAGGGGTGCGGGCGGACGGGGACTGCGCGCCACCTTCTTTCCCGCCCGCCACAGTCCGCGCCCAGCGGCGACCAGGACGCCCTTCTTCAGTGTTTGCTCTTCTCGACTTCCCGAATCTGGACGTGAACGCGCGCGTCCTTCATCAGCAGGAAAATGCGGGGGAAGAGTTTAAAACAAAAGAAAAGAAAACTGGCCTTACGGCCCCCTCCCCGCACGTGCCCGCCCCGCCGGTCCGCGCGCAGTCTGGTCTTGAGCGCGCTGCCGCCAGGGCCATCCCGGGCCCCTCCCGTCCCCTCCGCCGCGCGGGGCCGCCGCGGGGCTCGGGCCGGGCGTCTTGGGCGGAGAAGGGCCAGCCCGCGCGGACCCCGTCGCCGCACGGGGCGGGCACCCACCTCCACGCGCTCCTCGCGCAGGCGGATGCGGCCGGCCAGGCGCTCGCGCGTGCCCACGTCGGGGTACTGGTTCTGCACGAAGAGCGCCTCGAGCGCCTGCAGCTGCTCCTCGCT